CTTAACATTTACCTAAATTAATATATTTTGCAAGGGGCATAAAAAGTTATTGTCTATTAGTGGTAAATAGATTTGTTTGTATCAATAATAAGCATTATAGAAATTCTATATTATCGATATAATTGCATGTAGTGACATCTTACACACGATATTCTTGTGTGTAATCTGTGGAGTTACCTAATCAAAAGTTTCCTAATCTCTTGGTTGGAGTTCTGCACGTCGTATTTGCGTACTGTAGTCTATATTAATATTTAATTGTGATATCATATGTAATTTTTTTAATCGCACTATTAAAATAAATTTCTTATATCATGTTTCTAACGAATATACTATTAAAAAAAGCAAAGAGCAAGTAAGTAAAGTTAAAACTGAACAAAATTTGAGGTTAGGATTTATAACGGTAGAGTATAAGTAATAATTTAACACATAATTTAGTCATAAAGCAAAATGTCAATTTATAGTACGAATAATTTGAAATACGTGTGAAAATTTGCGCAACTTGTTATAAAAAAGTTAAATTAAAAGTTTAATTTATGAAATATCAATGGAAGGTAAAAACTTGATCAAAATCCATTAAAAGATATATCTGTGCTTTTGTTTATCATTATAGAAATGTCTTGGTTTTGGCAGAAAGTGTCATAAGTGGTCACAGGTTGGTACGTATTAGAGAAAGGTTGGCTGACAAGTTGGAATTTATATATTTCGATCCTTATAGTAAGTAACTATATTTTTAATTCATTTGTTTTTTATCATATAATCAATATATATGGTATTTTAATAAATAGAAGATATATGGAATATACATTATGAAATATTATTTAGTCTAATACTATGACTTTTCTTTACAGTTCAACAGAATGCACTTTATAAAGAAAAGAAAAAATTACATAATTTGTAATTTATAAATATTACAGTAAACAAAACTTGTTTAAAAATTTTCTGTCAGAGAGAAAAACATGGAAAAGAATATCTCAAGTACATTCAGATAATAGAATTTTTATTTATCATAAAACATAATGTATTTAGTCTTTTATGTATATTAACAACGTACATATTTATCTAATTTTTTATTTTATAAGTCTAAATTTAATGTGTTGTAGAAATACAATAAAAATAATAAAAGAAAAAGAGATACTGATAATATAAAATAAATAAGTGTAGATAATAAAAAAATTACATGATAAAAATTTCTTGTCTGACTTTATTATACAAAACTATTGTAATCATATCTTTCATGTTTCTTTTTATTTATAGATTTATTTTAAACTCAATTATTGACTATTATTCTAAACAAAACGATTCATCACTTGATAATGTACACAACCTATATGATTTCAGAAAAAAATTAATTTTACTTTACATATCATTTTTAAGAGTTTATTAAATAAAGCATACAATGAGCAAATGATTTGTCTAAGTTTCATGTCGGTAATGTCGAAGAGACAGAAGGCGAAAGAAAGGCGAACGGAGAATCGGCAAGAGACCAGCCAAGAGTCTCGACATTGAGATTAGGGGTAGATTTCCTTTGATCCTTAACAAGGAACACAAAGTTGTATTATTTCCACCTGGATTTCAAACGGTTCAGAATCCGTCAGGCGTGAAACACGATCCGTTCTCTCTCTCTCTCTCTCTCTC